TGTTTTATTGTTCCCATATATTGCCAGGACTGTTTATGATGAAAGACAACGAGAGATGATGTATCCATCCTGCTTGCCATGCATGGAGCATCCCCTATTCGGATACGTTTTTCGAATTTTTTTTAATAACGAAAATAACGAGTGTTCCCTGATAAGAGAAACGAATTAATCGTGGATTATTGTTTTGAATCGAATACGAATTTTATCTATTCATCTATCATTGGAATTCGATTAAACGAAAGGGATAGAGTTAAGAAAAATAAGAAACAACGATGATGAAATTTATGTTTCGATCTGTAGATCTCTTGACGGCAATTCTCAACTTAATATCCTTTCTTTATAAATGCAAGCATCTCAAGAGGTACGATATCACATTGTATTCAATAGTATAAATCAGACGCCCTATGTATTTCATCCCAGGCAAAATTGAATTCTTGAACGAGGGTGGATATCTTAATATAAAAAAAATAAAATCTCATGTGACAAACTTGGAGAGAGAGCAGACAGAGAGAGAGAGATCTCTGCAAAAAGATTCCTACGAATATACGGAGTGCTCCAGTTTGTTCCTGTTAAACATCGAGATGTTTTATAGATATAAATAAAAAGAAGAAAGGGGGTATATGAACGCAGCAGGTCTTTTGAAGCTTTATTAAAATAGAATAAAGAATGCAGAAAAGTATGCAGAAAATTGAATCTATCCACGGTTGTGTATTAAACATAAATATTCAATGGACGTAAGATTATTAATAACAAAAGATCGATTAATTTTTACGCGAAATAGTTGTTGTTACACAAAAGATAATTAACAATATATTAACTGGTAATTTCTAAGGTTATAATTATTGGTTAAACGGTTGCGATCTCGTGGCATGATTTATCGAACGATTCCGACGAGCCAATCGAAACAGATCGCGGGTTTCACACGCGTGGGTGTTTCAGATACGTATGCAACGTTTGAATTAAACTGATTCATAAATATTAACACTCGGTGTTTACGCTGCGGTGCACGATACACGAGCTTATATTCGTAAAGCGAGCCTCGTGTGCATCGTATGCACGTGACATAATAATTCCTCGACAATGATGCAAAATTATACGCTCGAGTGTTGGCCGTCTACGCCGCGAATACTAACGAAATATTTTTCTTAATCTTGTTCTCGGTAACGAGTAGAAAAGTTTCATTTCGAAAATTCGGATTTTATCGCGTTTTATCGGGTATATATAGTCGTTAATAAAATCATAAAACGATAAAATATTTTGAAATTAAATTTTTGCCATTACATTTCTTTTATAAACACCGATTAAATTTTATCGTAATCGTTTCATTCGTGTACAGGAAACAATAGATCGTTATTTTTCATTGAAATTTCCTTCGTATCGGGATATAAAACGGGTTTACGATATATTGCACGCGATGTATGTCAAATGGCAATTTTGACAATACATGGGATACGTACTTATCACGGATATCACAGTTAAGTGTGCATGAATATTTTCGAAATTTTCAATTTTCCCAAAGCTTCGTTAAAAAAAAATAAAAAAAATAAATAAAACTCTTTTCATGGGGAATTTATCACGATTACTATCACCGTATATATATATATGTATAAATAAAAAATTATTAACAAAAATTCAATAATACACTTTCCAAACTCTATCCACCATCCATCTATCGCCAACAACATTCATGACACTCTAATCGAATACAAAAAAAAAATTATTAATAAAAATTCAACGACATAACTAAATCCTTTCCTACTATCCACCCTCATCACCAACATCCATAATACCTCAACCAAATCCCTCGACTCACCCTTCTCGATCCAAATTTCCCTCCCTCCAAAAATGGCGGCTAGATTCCGTGGAATCACCGCAAAGTCACCACCCCCCCT